TATATATATATTCATGATATTGCCACGATTATCTCGTGAAGGATGAGTTTTTGAGATCGCGCTCTCAAACATTCACATTTCATTTAAAGAGACAACATAGAAAAGATAATGAAAATTTTAGGTACTCACGAGGCTTTGCAGGTTCTGGTGGAGCCACTTCTGTCAACTGCAAAAGATAAAAATATGTTGAAATAGTAGTTATAATATAAATCGATCAAATCTCGTGTTCAACAAAATTAATTTCTCTACATAATCGTATAATATACTATCAAAGGAAAAACCAACCGGATAATTTGAGTTGTTTCTCTTTCTTCAGAATCTAATAACATTCCTAGAAATTAAAATGTCAACGCGAGACATTTTACGTGTATACTTGAATGAAAATTATATTCGCTTCTAAAAAGTGGCATAAGGCAATTGATTCGCGCATGGATCGCGCATGAAAGTTTGTCAAACAACGCAGGTAAGTATTTAACGTCGATCATACTGCAAAAGGACAAAAAGAGAAAGTTTGCGTAAACAGCGGGAAATTAAACGAATCTGGGAAAATTTGTAAAGGAAACCGCGAAAGTGTACTTTGTCTCTCCCAGCTTCCGCATCGAGTAATTTACAACGCGTCGCTGCGTCTCCCGTGATACCGCGGACCCTTCTCTCGGCATAATAGAAATTTATCGCGCGGTTTGGCGGCCCTTTACATACATTCTTGTAATCGCGAATGAAATAATATATCAGTCTCGGCGGCATTCCCGCGAAACTTCACGCGAAATAATCAACTTGCATCGTGTAACTAAATGCTTTTCGAGTACCGAGTAAATAAATATCGTAATAAACTCAGATTAACAAATAACGCTACTACAAATTAACTGATATATATATATATATATATATATATATATATATATATCAATTTAAATAATAATTATTAATATATTACTATCAATTATAATAACAGAAATAAAAGATATAAATTCCCGCGTATTTTATGCACACAACGTGAACACTAGGATTATAATACGCATGCACCTACTAAGTTAAAACGGTGATTATGTCGTCTACAAAACGCGGGGTATTATATTGCATAACGATTCCTTTCATCTGCAAAAGCGCGAAATCGACCGCGGACGGATTCCACGTGCTGCACAATTTGGCGAATGGGTTCGCGCTATATTTCTCATTCCGGTAAGTCCGCGAGTAATTCTCGTGACGTTTGAGCAGGGAAAATGCCGGCAGCGATTTTGCATTCGCCCGTTATTACAATTTACTCGCGCGTGCGCGCGCGTAAAAAGGATCCCGGGTGGAAAGGTATATATACGACGGTCCGAATTAATCCACTTTTACGAGGCCGATTTAGCCTCGTCTCTCCTCTCTCTTCCTCTTTCCTTCTCTCTCCGCTCCTGCCTCTTTTACTACGCGCACTTTTTTCCCAGCTCTTTGCCGCCGATTCTCTCCGCAGTTTTGTCGGCGGGACGGTAAAAACAGGAAACGAATTTATAGTACGCAATGCAGTCTCCTGCAGCGTATCAGGTTGCAAATATCATGCAAAGTCCTATCAGACGTTGTAAATCAGTTTACGATGTTATAAAACGGCGATAAGGCTGATGAAAGTTTCATAAAAACTGTCAGAAATCAATTAATAAGTAATGCGCATAAATTTGTTAACTTGCTTGCAAAGCAGCAAATTTTTATCCGATTATCCGAACATACTTTCTGATAAAGTATGAAATACATATTTCCTATTCTACTCTTTTTTTTTGTTTCTTTAATTTTTTTCTTTCCAGATTACACATTTAATATATATAATAATATATTTTTATCGTTTTTTGTAAATTTATATATTTTGTTATCTTTTACATATCTTTTACATCCATTTTTGTCACGTAATTTTAAATTTTATTGCGAGTGTTGAGAATGCATATAATATTGAATAAAATCTATATAAGATTTAATAATTTTATAACTGTAATGCTGCGTACATTTAATACAATATGAAACTTTATTTTGCTGACACTCAAAGAGAGAGAGAGAGAGAGAGAGAGAGAGAGAGAATTCTGCTTCTTCATTTTGTGTTAAAAACAGATTGCATTGTTTCTTTTATAAAAATGTTTATTTGATTACTACAAAATATGTAGATACATTTTCATATCAGAAAAAGTAAGAAATGTCACGATCAGAGAATGATAAAGAACAAGTCTGAAAAGAGAAGTGAACAGACGGATTAGTTTCATCCGCAGTTTTATTTACATAGTAACACCGCGTGTTTCACAGTGCGGTCAAGCAGGACGGAGTTTTTACGTTGGATGAGCGTTACCGCAAAAGAGACATCGCTGTAAAAGAAGAACGCTCTTACGAGACTCACCGCATCCTCTTTCTCTCTCTATCTTTTTGCCAACGTCAACCCTGCTCCAACCTCGTCCCACCCTGCCGTCGGCGCGTTATGGCCGCTGCAGCTTTTGAGAGCAGCAAACGTTTGATACGTTGCCAAGTAGCACGGGACCTAGCTCGAATTAATGCGATCCGAGACATTTCCCATCCGGCCCGACATTATTGCTCCAGAATTATTCCGCTCGTAGGTATCAATGTTCCGCTTGTCGAAACAATGTTTCAATAACAGTAACCGGGTGTTTATTCCAATCAATTAAATGCTCAATTAGACGAGCAGTTAAACATGCCATAAACATCAGAAGTTAATTTCAATTGGCATAAAATAGTAGTCGCGTGTTATTACGACTACGGATTTACATTAAATATCAATTACAAGTAAAATAAATGTATCGACAAGTCGTAAAATATAAAACGCGCTTATCTTTTCTTATATATAATAATTCGTAGTTAATATATGTGCGGATCGCTCGCGTCTATGTTATCCCCATGTTATCGTTTTAATCAAGTTTAGAAATTGGCGTTCGCGACTCTCGTAAAATGCTAATTCCTGCAAATAAGATATTACGCGAGATTTCTCGTGCTACGTATCACCTACGACACAACTGGCCGTTTATATATACACGTGCACACGCCCGAGACACACGCCAACAAACGCGGTGCTTGACATCGTGCCAAGTGGCACGAACGACCGAAATGTTGCCACGATCGATATCACGCTTTGAATTATCACGCTCGCGAGAGACACGCACGAACTTAATCTCATATATTTCGCACTCGTTCCTTTTGTTTGCCGCGAAAATATGCGTGCTTTCGATAACAAAATTAATTTATGTTCCTGATTGGAATGTTCCTCATTATCAACCACGAGTAAACATATCCAGCGACCCTAGTTATCAATTATTGCTCTTGATAATCTACAGTCGTCGAAAAACTACTCAATATTGTGTGTCGCAGATAGTTCTCTGAATTATCTAAATAGGAATTATCACGACCAATAATCATTTAATGCTTAATAATCCTTAATTCTTTCCTTGTGCTATGTAAAAAGTTTATTTCGATGTAAAATAAAAAATTTATTTATATTTTATAATTCTTGTTTTAATTTTTTTTATTCGCTTTTGTTTTTCATTATAACTTTCAAATAAAAAATTATAAGAAATATTGTAATTGACATGGAAATAAAAATTTCCTTCAGATCGAGTTGTGAAAGTATCCTCTCATAAAATAGCTCGTAACTGGCAACGGAAGGATTAAGGGCATCCTCTTAGCAACCGTAAACGTCAAAGCGCTCTTTCAACCGGAGTAGTGATTACTCTCGATTCCCGTTTGCCATTTTGATCGGCGAGTGGGTGGATCAATCGATTCTTACCTTTGCCAGATGGGGGTTGAAGGTGAACTTGGATTCGTGCTCCTTTCGCGGTGTCTGCGCGATCGCCGTCAGTGGTGTGAGTGGCACGGTCATCTCCTGAAATGGCAAAATAAAATGCGATTCACGTGAGAATAAAATAATTTCATTTGTTTCCTGCAATAATTCTAATTTTCTCATTTGCGCATATTAATGGATTAACCCGTTAATCTTAGGACAAGGATCTTCGAGATCTCGCAATATTTATTTTTTTCATAATATTTTATACTTCCAGAAAAAGATTTTTCTCTGGGTAATTTAAAAAAAAAAAAACTACTTTTTCATTTTTAACAATACACGATATTTAAATTTATCGAAATAATATTTGAGAATTTTGATTCAAACTTTCTTTAACCATGCATTCTAAAATTAAGCGACTAAAAAAAGATAGTGATAATATGGTGACATGGTGACAATCAATGTGCAAATATTGAGAGAAGATCTCGACGTAAGATTCACGAGGTCGAGTGACGAATCAATTCCTTCGCGCGCTTCTCGAGCGACGACGACAAGAGAAAGAAGCGATCGCAATTCTCGACAACAACACATTTGCGTAATAGCGAGTGCGCAACTGGGGCACGATTACGTCAATGTCCACGAACAGAGTTACGTCGGACGGATTTCACACGACTGTTAAGTGTTCTACACGGACAACTGCTCTTATTAACGCGCGCACATACACGAACTAGAGCAAACGACGACTTTTGTAAATCTAAAATTAAATTCCGTGGACGCGAGTTTCTATTTCCTGTTTAATTTCAATTACATTTTATTGAAATAGAATCTGTGTGAACTCCGATCACACCAAAATACTTTACGTAAATGAGAAAGTTTAAAAATAAATAAATCCAATACCAAATTTAAAAAAAAAACCAACTTCGAAATAGAAAATTCACAGATGTAGCAATAATATTTTTTGACAGTTTAATGTTCCAATTAATAATGGTAACGAAATTAACACATATTTCTAAACAAAATTGTTTCATCTATTTAAATATAAAATTGAGAAAAAATATATAAAATGTGACAGAAAATTGAATATTTCCAGAGACAATTTGATGTATGTGTATAACATAGATTTGCCTTTGACATACATGCACGTATCTCCCACGCACATGACGCACATGCGTGCAGGTGCACGACAGTGCAATGTCGTCGGCAGAAAGTCGCAAACTGTCAAACAATGTACCGCGTCTCCCGCATCGAACGAGACGCATTTTCCACGGACGAGCGTCGTCGCGGCGCACAGGCCGATTCATTGACCCGCCGAGGAGACACCCGTCGACAGGAAACAAAGAGCGACGAGACAAAAGCTCTCGCGGCTCGCGAAGTGCTTACGTTCTTACGTGCGATCCACGCTCGCGAGAAATAAAATTCTAAAAGCCGGAAAAAATCTGAAGAGTTAAAACGGAACTAAAAATCATTTTATTTTTCGAAAGAATGCCTGCAGGATATGATATTTGGATCGAAGCGTGAATATTCGTGAAATTTGCAAATCGAATTTTCCTTAGCAAAATACTAGAAAGAAAGAGTCATTTGTAACTATTAAAATTTTACGAAATCTTAGCGACAATAAGAATTAAATAAACAATAAATTTCAATAATTTTAGAAAAGCACAATCTATTTACATTTTTAAAGTTTAATTCGTGAGAAACGAATATAACTGGGAAATTTAATGCTTCAATTTCTAGGCAGCTGTATATTCGTTTTTATCTCCTTTCTTTTTCACATAATACACAGAGTGAGTTTGTGGCGCTTTAAATTTGATCGTGCTATTACAGGTAAAAAACATATATTCTTTTAACCTTTTTTTTTAGTTCAACGATCACACACAAACGCTCGGATTTCTTACATACAACTATTTATCTGTAATTTAAAGCCGCAGTCAATTTAATGCTTGGCTGCTTGCGGTGTAAAAATCCGGTCACATCATAAACATTTTGTTTCGGATTGTAGGAAAACGTGGCACGCATAATATCAATAATGTCGCATTCAAGAGAACGTATTGTTCTAGAAGGAAATTGCAGTGTAATTTCGTCCAATGCGAGATATCATATTAGTACGACGGCCTACGGAATACTAACGACGATATCTGCCGCGAAACGGAAACAAACGTTTCATGCTCTGGATACGTATCCTCCTGTCAGTCTCGGTATAAAATGTCAAATTACTCGATAAAACTATGGACGAGCAACAAGTATCATCGACAATGGTAAAACTAACGCGCGCATCCGATAAAAGTCTGATTGTAATTAAAAACAGGAATCTTTTAATTTGGAATTTCTTTCTCAAAGTAAGAATTTAATAGAACGCGTCTTGTTACGAAGTTAATTGATAATAAAATTTAAATAATTGCAATGTATCAAGAGTGTATTGTACATCTTCCGATGTGTGTGTGTGTGTGTAGGTGTGTGAATGTGTCGTGTATTATATTGCGGAATTCTCTTTCTTATTCTTAGTGTAAAAATCCGGTCACATCATAAACATTTTGTTTCGGATTGTAGGAAAACGTGGCACGCATAATATCAATAATGTCGCATTCAAGAGAACGTATTGTTCTAGAAGGAAATTGCAGTGTAATTTCGTCCAATGCGAGATATCATATTAGTACGACGGCCTACGGAATACTAACGACGATATCTGCCGCGAAACGGAAACAAACGTTTCATGCTCTGGATACGTATCCTCCTGTCAGTCTCGGTATAAAATGTCAAATTACTCGATAAAACTATGGACGAGCAACAAGTATCATCGACAATGGTAAAACTAACGCGCGCATCCGTTAAAAGTCTGATTGTAATTAAAAACAGGAATCTTTTAATTTGGAATTTCTTTCTCAAAGTAAGAATTTAATAGAACGCGTCTTGTTACGAAGTTAATTGATAATAAAATTTAAATAATTGCAATGTATCAAGAGTGTATTGTACATCTTCCGATGTGTGTGTGTGTGTAGGTGTGTGAATGTATCGTGTATTATATTACGGAATTCTCTTTCTTATTCTTACTAAAAAAGAAATGCCAAACTGTATCTGTTATTGTACGTATAATTATTCAACGTTTGCTATGCACATGCATTCTCTCTATGTAAACTTTACCCTCTTTCTCTTTCTTTCTCTCTCTCTCTCTCTCTCTCTCTCTTTCTCGCTATTATTACATACAAAACCGATACTCAATTATCGACAGGCGATGGTCGCGCGTGTAGAGTATCGCCCAGAAAGTGAGTAATCGCCAACTCCCCGGAGTGCAATTTAATTTCGACTGTAGATCCATTGGTCCGTGAAACTTGTTACTGCGATGGAAACGCGACGCCGACGTGCCGATAAAAGTCGACGGTTCGCAGGAAACGGACGAAGGAAGGGAAACCCGAACAAATATTGTCGCACGAGAACTACACTAAGAGATCTCAGAAAAATGATTTTGTGCAAGAAAAAGAATTTTTTTTTTAAATTCTTGTTCAAAGAATTTAAGAAATACAGAAACGCTAGAAAAAAACGCGGTAAAATTGCATAAAAGGTAACACACCTCCGATTTAATCGCCACTTAAATATGTTGTAGAAAGGTTCTTTCGAGTAATCCCCGCAAGAAATAAGTAGAGGACGGCATTGGTTTAAAAAATATAACAAATTAAAGTTTGACATTAAAGTATGTGTATGCTATATAATTTGTAATTTTTTCATTGAAACAAATTGTTTATGATATATTTACGCGTGGGCGTAATTCCGCCCCCGCATTCAATAAATAATATTTTTCAAGACAGAACTTACAAATTCGTGTAGTTACACGTTGAAAGCTGTTAACGAACTGCGAGAAACACATTATTGACAAAATATCCATCCCCGTATACCTATCTCGTAAACGTAAACAAACACTTTTTCCACGTCTGCTCTACAAATACAATGTATACAAACCTCATGTTTCCTAATATTACTTTATAATAGTTGAGAAAAAACATTAAAACCGTTTAATTTGTTATGTCTCCTAAACCAATGTTGCCCCCACTTATTTCTTGCGGGGAATTACTCAGATGAATTTCCCCTACAACATATTTAAGTAAGGATAAAATCGGAGGTATGTTATCTTTTATGTAGTTTTACCAAAAACGCTTTGTGTTTATTATATCTTAATAAATGTTACTTCTATTTAAAATCATTACCAAAGCTATTAATAATCACTTCCCTATCTATTTTTCGAGCAAACTCATCGCGAAATGTCAGGTTCTTTTTTCTCTACTTCATATATATTTTTCTACTTTTAATAATAATTAAGATAAAATGTATTCTCTATTTTCTGAAAGAAAGGCACGTATTCATTCCTTATTATAAAATTTTTGTATTACATTATTATTTGTTTTTACACCCTAATTTAAATGCACACAAATATGAGGGCCCAATTACACACAAATCAGAAACATTGGATTAACGTTTAAGTTTGAAAGAACTGTCAGTCTCCGTTACGCTTTTTTAGGATTAATCCCACTTATTATTCCCACTGGAGTGCGTGCGGTTGCAGTTGCACCGCCACACGTGATGCGCGTGCGGCGCGTACCTAAGGACGAGCCGACGAAAAAAAGGTCTCGCATGCCAACCAAGAAAGAGGCGAGAGAAAGAGAGAAAGAAATTCTTAATGGTTGAGTCACTCCGCTCGCTCATGTTTCTCTCTCTCTCTTGCGTGCGCGCGCGGATCATCATCACACGGGCGTGTTTCGTGCAGGATAATTTACGCGGACCGATAATTTATTTCCGCGCCGCACGAAGAACGACATCGAGTTATGCAAATTGCACGCGCTACGAATGAGGAATTTATAGCGGTACGATATCGGGCGAATAAATGTCGAATTCGCGATGAATAATGGACGCGGCGCGTCGCGCTAAGATTCGCACCGCGAAAATAAAAATCGAAGCGAGGAGAAAAAGCTTCCGGGGTTAGCGGGAATGTAAACGTAGCTATACGAGCGTAAAGCTTAAAATTTACCTTAACTTATGTAACTCCGATATCTGTGTATGTGTTATAATAATAAATGCGATAAAAATATTTTTAAAATCATAATATACGTGTTGCT